CAAGGGTTTCGCTTAGGGAATAAACACCGTCGGGACACTTAGGAAACGGATGAGGAACTGCAAAACAGATAAAAACAAGAGTTAGGTTAAAATTCGAATAAATACACATACGGCACGAAAAACTCGACGAGCCGGGCCAAAAACGGGCAACAGGTCGGCTACCCATTCGTTGCCAGCTCGTCTTAATTAGCTCGATACCATTGCCTAATATCGCCTCGCAAATCGGTACATAGAAAAAAAAATCAATCCATTGTCGATCTTTGCTTGGAAATCCCCTAATGATGCGACGATCCTTCTTGTTCGACGCGTAATAGACAAATTTGTTTTTCGGGGAGGATTGTCTGAATTCCAGAAGGTTCAACAAATGGTAGGCACTAATGTCCTCATCGCACTCATAGCCGCGAACAAGAATTCCAACCATATGACGAATTCCTCGAGGAGTGATCTGGGAAATAGATAGCTCAAGCTCCTTCAAAAACTCCAAAATAACGTACGGGATTGGAAACCATAGAAAGCAATCGTGGAAGTAGCTCTCGTACACTGTAAAAAATCCTTCTGGAGGCTCATCAGCTCGACAGTAAGAAGATGGTACCAATATTTCAATATCTTCAGAAAAGTGGCAGCTCTCCCTCAAATCGTGAAGAGAGTCCTCGGTCGAAAGGGTCGAACCAGGCGGATCGGGAACGCTCTTTTTGACTCGGCGTTTCTTCTTGCCTGGCTGAGATGGTCCGGCTAAGCCAAAGACCTGTTTGTAAGCCTCAGTGTGCACAGCCGTTTCGAACTCATTTGGCTCGCTTTTCACTTCAAGAAGCTCGAAAGAATTCGGTTTGGCGGCGTCCGTTCTCGACTTAAATAGACCGGCTACGGAGTTGCCAGAATCTCCAGAACTTTCATTTCCTTTTTCTTCTTTCGATATAGCCCTGTCATGAGGACGAAGCCAAGAGGACACGGATCTGGACTGGGTCTCGACATCCCGCGTCGAACCTTCGGAAGACATTACGATCGGCAAGGTAAGACCCCAGCAAAGGAATTTGCGACTTCTTCAAAAACAACTCAGCTCGGCAAACTTTCAAAGCAAGCTCGGCTTACGAAATCGGCACAATTGGCCTCGAATCTCTGCACTTCGCCTCGGTCGAATCACGAATTGGTCACCTCGACGAAAGAGGACGAGTTGTCACGACCAAGACTCCCGCGATTGAACTCGGCGGAGATAACAAAGACGTCGAATCAGTGATCGCTTGGATCTGATGAAGGAGCGAGCTCGGCCCGAATTTGACGAACAAACAGAAGGAGTTTACCTCGACACCACGACGTCGCAACAAGCTGGATGCGACGGAGTAGGCTCCACGTGGTTCCTTTCCACTTTACGGTGATTTCAAACAGATCGGACGGCAGAAGCGATTGGCGAACTCCGAAAGAAAGACGACGAGACGATCACGGCGTCAACGACGAACAACGGAGACAAGAGACGCGGCGACGCGGCGTGTATTGGGTGTAACCCTAGAAGACCTAGACAAATAATAAATAAAAAGGGGAGAGAAAGAGAGAGTTTTCCACCTTTAGAATTTGGAAGATGAAGTTATGAGAGAAATGAGGAAGGACCGAGTATGAATAGGCATTTGAAGCAATAAATGATGGCATCGTATCTCGGGAACTGGTGACAGATAATTTTGATCTTTGCCGAGGTTGAAATTTTTTCTAAGTGTCACGATTTGACGAGATATTATATTAAGACGAGCCGAATAAAAATACTTACCGATCCAACCAAATCAAGATGAGCTCGTCGGCTCGTCCTGTCCAAGCAAATCAAGATGACTCGTGGCGAGCTCGCCTGCCTTTAACAAGAGGGCGACGTGACGAGCTCGCCAACATTAACAAAACGATTTGAGCTCGCCATTGTAAAAAAAAAAGGCGAGCCGAAGTCTTACCAGAACAAGCTGGGCTCCCTCAAAGAAACGAAAATCAGAATTTACGCCAAGTGTAAATTATTGAAATATCATGGCAAGCTAAACAGAAACGCTTGCTAGAAAGATGGCGGGCCGAAAGCTTCAACATGACAAGTTAAGCTCGCCATCCCCGAACAAAACGAGTGAACATTTCCCAATAAGTTAGCTTCACCAATCTTAACCAAAACAGATTAAGCTCGCCAATTCCAAAGGAAACCATAACCATATCGACGGTTTCGACAGCTTGCCAATAACCAAGTAGTCTTCAGAAGGAGAGCTCAGCATAAATTTCAGCTCGACGTCGCATTTGCCTGTTCAGCAATCTTTAACTCGACATTATCATAACTGATAATGCCAAGCTGGGAGGCTAACTGTTGGGGTCAAAACTCCCCTCGACTGAAATTACAGCTAAAATGGCTAAGTCAACAAATTAGTGGCGAGCTGACCAAGTCAACGATTTGGTGGCGAGCTGACTAAGTCAACGTTTTAGTGGCGAGCCGACCTGATTGTTTAATTGGAGAGCTGATTAGAAGACAACCTGTTTTGGTAGATAAGTTGAATGACGAATTAGCGAGCCGAACGGTGACAATGCCCAAAACACAAGACGGAGAGGTCAAGCCCAAGAGTAGTATGCGACGGGCCTAGAGCCCACGCGGACGAAGCCCAAGACGAGACCGACTTCGATAATAGGAAATCCCGAGAAAATAGGGATCTTTCCTTATCTCTGTAGGTTTTGGCCTAGCCGACTTAAACTTYTATATATACTCTTGTAATTRCTCTGAAAGAGAGGACGGACTGCAAAATTATTCTAGACAAATTAATAAAGCTTTCTCTTAAACAGCAAATTCATCTTGTTCTGGTGGTTCTGACTCAGAGATCTCAGTTTTCCTCTAAAAACCCTTACAAATTCAATTGTGTTGGTTTCACCTTCCACA